ATATCTTAATTGTAACTATCATCTATCTCTATACAAAGCTAAAACATGGATGTAAATATGGATGTAAGACTAAGCAAGGGATGTAAATATGGATGTAAGACTAAGCTAAAACACTTGATGTACAAAGAGAACTGGTGCATAAACGCAAAAAGCCTCCACATTGAGTGACATATATGTTTGGTTCAGGGGTGTTCATATGAACACTCAAACATTTGAATATTCAATACAAAAATACATGTTAAGAATTTATGTATGTAATTTTTATGTAATATTTTAATAGTAAAATATTTTTGAACACCCAGAATTTAGAAGCAAAATCCGTCACGGTCCGTATTCAATTTGTATAGTATAAATGAGTTCTCAATCAGAAATTGATTTCTTATTCATGTTAGACACAAGAATTTCATCTTTTTGAAACATACCTGGCGTCATCTTATTTTGATTTGTAACCACTTACACTTTTTACCCGTAACCTTTTTCGAAAGATTAAAAGTGTAATCCTGTTTATATTTTAATTTCAAGATTCTAAGTAGGGATGGCAACGGGGCGGATCGGGGTCGGGTACACATAAAACCGAAACCGCCCCGTTGGTTAAATGATTGCCCCGAAACCGCCCCATTCCCCGTTCGGGTAATTTTTAGTTGAACCGTACATGTCCCAACGGGGAATCGGTTTATCCACGGGTAACCGTTTTCCCAAATGATACCAAAATTTTCAATTTATAATCCTACTTGTTAATGTAAACATCCTTCCTCCTTTAAAAAAATGTAAACATCCTTCCTAGTAAATTATGCGAAGTATATTCAAAGGACCATAAAACATACAAAAGTAAATATTCAAGCAATCAAGTAGTTTTAGTCCTAAGTTCATTAGTATGACAAGCGCCAAATATCTCTTGTAACATAATAAAAAAGTAGTAATCATCCCAGAATCTAAATTGAAAAAACATGTTTAGGCCTATATTTAGTTTTACGCCTAAAAAGTTGTAATCCTTCGCCAAAAACAGTTTTAGGCTTAAATTCATTACACCATCACATTAACATTTAACATTTCAAAAAGTAGTGTTTGCAAAAAAAGTTTTGGGCCTCTTGTGTATTATTCTTTATATACTTACATAATATATATGATTTAGTGTACACAATTTAGCACATATGCTTATTATCAATCATATATATAAAGAGTTAGAATTTATTAATAATGTTACGGATCGGGTAACGGTGCGGGTACCCGCACCATTAGTGAACGGAGCGGTTTCGGGGCGGATAACGGGGCGGATTAGTATACAACCATAACTGCACCATTATCCATTTAAAAAATCGAGTATTCCCCACCCCGTACCCGTTCCCCAGTCAAACCGGTTTTCTCCATTTTGACCAAATCGGTTCGATGCGGGTATCCGACGGGTCGGCTGAAATTGCCATCTAATTCTAAATATTACCCCACTTTGATCCCACTTTGATCTCGGTCTCACAAAAAATGTTAACTTAAGCATATCATTCCATATAGTGGCGGACCCAAAAGTTTTCAAAAGAGGTCACGGGCACTCCCGCATGGATGGAAATGGGTCGGGTCAGATCGAATCGGGTGTATCTTTGGTCTGCTTTGTCAAGTGCGTTCAGATTATTATTTTTATCTAGAAATATATTATTCAATACCGGTTTCAAGTAATGAACATATATGGATAATAACTCTAGCTAGTTTTGAATTCATTAAGACAATTCTAAACAGTAGCATTTGACTTTGTGAAAGAAAGACATAATTTAGATGAGAATTGATTCATCTTTGCGCCGTTTCTAATTTTGTATTAGAACTCTCATTATTTTTCAAACTATGAAATTGTCAAAACTTCATTCTGAACAAGGATCATGTTGAACGCTTTACGTTGTACCACAAAATTTGTTGGTACCTGTCTAGAATATATTACTATCGTATTAAATTAAATATGAAGTATATATAGATCAAGTTTATTATTTCATCCTTTAATACAACTTTATTTAATAATATGTGATTCTATATATCTAACGTTTATCATATTATACATCAAAAAAATCAAAGGGGTTGTCGTTTTGGAACTAATTTTTTGTGAATCGACACATTTTTTCATGTATGGACTTTTATCAGGATAAAAGTCTTCAATCGGTTAAGATCATATCTTTGACCTTTATTTTTGGACAAACATTACTCGCACTTAGTAAAAAATGGTCAATGTCACTTGTCAAAGAAAGTGTAGTAACCATATCAACAACATATATAACTATAAGGTTTACTCCATCACTAGTCATTTATATTTCTCGCTACAATAGATATATCACTGAATACTAATACTAAACTTTTAAGTCTGGAAGCGGGGACACTTGCCCTCCTCCCCCGATCCTCCACTGATTCCATGTTGATAATGTAATCCTTAAGATTTCAAATCATTAAATAAAAGTAGGAGAATTCAGAGCTTCTTCATTGGGAGAATTCACTAAATAGGAGTAAAAAAGTTTTCAAATTCCAAAATAAGAGTATCATGTTTTTTATTCCTTGAATAGGAGTAAATTTCTGCCAAGTTTGGAATTACTAGGCTTTAGAACATGGCATTTTTTTTCAAACTTGGCAGATTACTCATATTCAAGGAATAAAAAACATGATACTCCTATTTTGGAATTTCAAAACGTTTTTGCTCCTATTTACGCAATTTCTAATCATTAAAAGTTAAAAATGATTGATTATACGAACAATGTCCAAATGGTTACCACGGAACTTACTCAACTTAGAAAAGTCACCTCACTTATCCCAACTTTTATTTCAAAATTATTCACAGGTTTGATATAAAGCACATAAAAAGTCTTATGGTAAGATAATGCTTGGTAAAACTCGTGGTCAGTGATTTTGGATTCAATCTAAACGCAACAGAGTTGAACTATTTGAATTTATTTTCATTTTGTTTTTGAATTTACTTTATATAATTTTACTCAACCCTGATCAAGGACAAGCAACCTCTCGGGCATGACTATGACCATCTTAAGGTGGTCTCAAACAATAAAAAATCCTCCCTCCCAAGGACGGGTGGTCCTAGATTATGAAAGACACTATTAATTGATGACACATGTTCTGTTTCTCATCTTCTGATTTGGATGAGCAGACTTCAAGAACTTGATGCGTTGACCTCAAGAACATGAAGATTAATAAAGCTTAACTTGCAAGTCACGTCTTGTTTGGATAGTTCAGACCTTTTCTGAGAAAGATGGGAAGTAGCAAGTCAAATACAGCTTCGCGTAACTTTCCAAAAACTACACGTTCTCATCATCGGACAATCCCACGGTAAAATTTGCGTGTAAAAATATGTAACTTTATGTGTAATAAATATGTAACTTTATGTGTAAAAATATGTAATTTGCATTCAGTCAGGCCAAATGCAACTCGTGTGTATAAATATGTAACTCTACGTGTAAAAATATGTAACTTACGTGTAAAAATATGTAACTCGCGTTCAGACAGGTCAAATGGAACTCGTGTGTATAAATATGTAACTCGTGTGTATAAATATGTAAATTTACATGTAAAAGTATGTAAATTTACGTGTAAAAATATGTAACTCGCGTTCAGGCAGGCCAAATGCAACTTGTGTGTATAAATATGTAACTTTACGTGTAATAACATGTAACTTTACGTATAAAAATATGTAACTCACATGTATAAATACGTAATACAATAAATTTTTTATATACACAATTTTAAGATAAATTGTGATTTACACAATTATTTTTCTGTATTAAATTTAGTTCGGTTTTCCTTATAATCCAATAATCATTTATATAATAGTTCGATAATTTGTTAAAATTACATAAACAATATTGATCTCATTTGATAGATCATGAAAAATAAAAATTAATATAAAATTTATAAAAATCGGATATGAAATAAAAAAGTTATTACAATTTTTAACAACAAAGGGAATACAGTCAAAAAAAAACAAAGGGAATAAAAAATAATTGGACTCAATGTTATTTTTTGTACGGAGCTTGCCAAAAATAAAGACCGGTATACGGTGAGTACCGTATACTGGTCATACGGTATAATTTGCCCTCTTATTTAGGGAATAAAGAGTCTAAAGACATGACATTATTATCTTGAAATTTACAAACGTTTTTACTCCTATTTAAGGCAGTTAAGTTTGTGATTATGAAAAGTTGGTTCAAATGCATAAATGATACCTTAACTATTGGTATCATTGCTTTTTGGTACTTTAACTCTTAAATGAATCAAATCAATATCATAACTACACATAAATGCTTCAAATTGAGATTTTATTCAAATTTGTGACCAAAAAAATCATCATAGCGATCAAAATTTCATGTGTACAATCACCCTATAGTGAATATATGGACAAAAAAGGCAAAGTAGACTTGCGGATAGAATTTCAACAGGCAAGTTTGATTTTTTGGCCACAAATTTGAATAATTGACTGATCTATGCATTATGATTTCATGGGGTTCCCAGAGGCCAGAACTTGGCTTGGTCGTTAACAGTAACAAAGATGACAATAGAAGTAATTAAGCAAACAACTAACACTTTGATTACACTAAAATTGAATGAATAATACATAGGTATAAGCATATAATGGTAATAATGCTATAAAAGCTCAAGAAATAAAACATCTTGCAATTATTTTTCGTAAAGTGTAATTTGGGTATTTGATTTTGAAAGTGATTGTTTTTAATACTTAATGAGTATAACTGTTTCGGAACGTGCCACTTATAAGCCTAAAGCCACACTGGTTCTCCTAATACACATTTTTATAGTGTTTCAGCCTAATCACAACTGCTCCCAATTATAAATAATTATTTAGCTTGAAAGGAGTAAATCAAGTAGTATAAAAACATCATTTTTATAATTTAAATCATATTTGTAGTGTATTGTGTGAACTTAAGTCTCTACAAGTTCATTTTTTCATTTCATTTAAAATAACTCGATCATAAGAAGTTACAGATAACGAAAATTAGACTTCTCAAAAATGGTAGCCACGTATGAGTTCATTCAAAACAAAATGGGGCAAAACTAAGAACAGCAAAGAAAAATGTATTCTTTTCAGATTGCGAATAATGGTAACAGAACAAAAGAAACAACATTCTCTGGCGGCTTCTCTTGGTAGACTGCAGCGCAGTATGAACCGTGAGAAAAAAGCGAAAATGCCAAAGGTTAGGCAGCACAATAAAGTCAAAACCAACCTTACACAGCAATTCTCACTCAACATAACATGTACAACCCCCATCACCACCCCACTGTACACATAGACACATAAGCAATTAGTACTTCTAAAATCTCCAAAACTTTTGAAGCTCAACTGCTGCTCCTAGGTAGGGATCTCATCAGTAGAAACATAAGGGTCACCATTGGTTTCACGTCGTCGGCAAAGAAACAGATAATATGAAGTGGGTACTATATATCCTCTTCCTTTCCCTCTTTTCCTCGACCAGTCGTGATCAGATAGAATACATGAAAGAAAATTGGGTGGGTGGATAGATAATATTTGTAGCCCACGTACCTTCATACCTCCTCATTCCTAAAGGGTTAGTTGCCAACAAAAATGAAAGTGGTGTTTTAGATCGATTCTTCCAAGGAAATGGACAATGGATCTCTACCCAACTCCGCATTACTACTTTCTTGGCTGTCTTCGATTGTGCCGATTCTGCCTTTCCCCGGTCTTGACCTTCCATTAACACCCATGGGAAAGGGAACCTGCAAAGGATAGCTAGTAAGTAATACATCTCTCTGTTAAGAAAAAAATGCCAATGCTACGGCCAGTTATATCATGACTAGTATTAAGACACCTTATAAGAGTATCTGGATCTAATATATCGGTTAATATTTTATAACCTGGTGAGACAGATATATCAACAACTTGCTTTAGATGGCCTATGGGTCATACCTGATCACCAGCATTGGGGCCATCTGTATGAAAAAGTATGGGCCTACATCGCTTATCTTCATTCATCAAGCTAGAATTCTGGAAGTGGGCGATTAGGGCAGCTTTTCCCTGAATGCGTGCATATGCAAGTGTTGCCACCTTTTCACTGTTGAATTTCTCCCACTTTTTTCCATTAAATGACTGTCAGACCAAAAATTTGTAGATATTGTATGAACAACCGACAGTATCACATTGTGATATAATAATAAAATGGGGGCTGAAATGAGTAAGAATTACTGGGTGAAGGTCTAAGGGAAGCATACGTGATGAAATGGAATTATCAGGGAAGGATCAGTCATATTGATGAATGCATAACCGACATTGCATTTGTTCTGCAAATAAATATGAAAAACAGGTTGTAGTGTGTCATAGTCATTAGCAACCTCGTTATACTACACGTTTAGTATAGGCAATCTAAAATATGTGATCCATGGGAAATACTTTGTTTACTTGCCTTAAAATCAATAGGCAAATAGATAAAATCATAACTTCCTCTGTGGCGTTCATCAATTGCAGACAGAAGCATCTTTGAGGTGTATCTAGAATTACCATAGAGAAAATGAAGAAACATGTGTTTAAATCAGAGCAAAAGAAAGCACATTACTAAATATATAGTATTTTATATGGAATAATTGGCTTATGCATACCAAACAAAGTTGTCTAAAAGAAGGCATTTATCATGAGATGGGCAACAGGTTGTGAAATCAGTTGCCCAACCTACTTGGCTAGTTTCAATATGTATATAGCTAACATCTAAGGTCAACTAATGATTGAAAAAAACAGCTAAGGATGATAAAGAGAAACATAGTCAGTGGTGTGTGTGTGTGTGTGTGTATATATATATATATATATATATATAATAGACACACACATAGGAGCCAAGGATGATAAAGAGAAACATAGTCAGTGGTATATATATATATATATATAAATATATAATAGACACACACATAGGTGATGGAACATACTTGTTAGGAATGTTCTTTATCATTAATGTTGTCCTCTTATCCTCCCCACGCAAAATTCGGTCAATGTCAAGCTCAAATTGTTTCTTGTTTTCAGTTTGACTCAAAGTGCCTTCGCTTCTCCTGCTTCTCGCCCTTCCATTAGGAGAATCGAATGGTGTATTCATCATAGGAATCATTTGGCCTCTTGATGGAAATATCATACACCTCTGATGAGGCGAGTGTAACCCAACAACATTTTTGGAAGGCATTCCGCCTCCTCCGGCAGAGAAGATACTTTGATGAGGAACAAACTCTAAAGACTGCTGGGGTGAGTTACCAGATATCCGCAAACTGCCAAGAGAACCAACTGGGTGGAAAGCGGATGCATCGGGGGATTCTCCTGCATAAGCATTCCTTCTATCCCAGAGAGAAGGATTGAGTGATGGTGCTGACCCTACGTGGTGGTGGTGGTTGTTTACTGCAGGTACAAGTCGTCCACTCAGCAAATGAGATGGTGGTGCTCCATGTAGCTGTGGGTGGAGGTGTGCAGCAGCAGGACTAAATCCAGTAACATATGACGGTGAGTTTGGCCACATCACCCTTTGGGCTTGTCGCTGGGGTGAGCTGCTCCATGCATATGGATTCCCGGGGGTCGGACAAAGGCCATTACCAGGGGGACAAAAAACTAAGCAAAGGAGATAATTAATCAAACTCAAAATTGTAACATCCTTTTTTCAGATTAAAAGAGCTATAAATCCTTAAGGATTTGCGCATTAGATGATTTCTTTTGTTTGTAGTAATCTCTTCAACAATATTTTTAGACATAATGCCAGATTATATCCTTGAAATACACACTGTTACTAAATTTGGTCCTTCACTTTCCATTCAAATCCAATTTATGGCAAGGGAATTAATGATGCCAGATTAGTATCAATCTACGGTTCCTATCAAATCTTCCGTTTTCAAATCTGGTTCCTATCAAATCTTCAGTCATATTTTAAAAGGCTATTTTTTGTCCAACGTGCACGGAATTGGGACCAAATTACATAGTACTCCCTCCGTCCCTAAATAAAAGCATTTGTTTCCTTTTCGGGCCGTCCCTAAATAAAAGTTCCTTTTCCTTTTTTGGCAAACAAAACAGTGCAAAACAGTGCCAAACAGTGCCAAACAGTGTCCAAACGGTGCCCAACAGTACCAACCAAACCCACTTTCTTAAAATGTGTGGAAAACGAATGGATACTTTTATATAGGGACGGAGGGAGTACTTGCATATGAAATAGAGTCCGAAATTGGGTCTACATTTGGTGAAAGGATGAATATACTCTACTACTTTTGAACCAAATATGTATGAGGACTAAATTGTGTCCAAATTGCATTATCAAAGGCCAAATTGAGTCAACAAAAAAAAGTCAAGGCCCAAATTAACTAATAGTGTATAGTCAAGGGACTATATCATGTATTGGCTCGAAATTTTATTCAAGAGGAAAATAGAAAATTGAGATTCTGATGACTCTGGTAAGGGCTGTTTTACCCCTTATCAAAGTCGGACACGTGGTAACTGGAGTTATGCTTTTGACAGCTTCACAGTTTGCTTTTCTTTTTATTTCTATTTTATGAGCCATGTTTATTACACACATTCGCTAAATAAGACATCAGTCCAAGGAGAAATATAAATATAGAAAATCATTGAAACTTACCATTTTCATTCAATTCAACTGAATGCCCATTTGAGCCAAGTCTACAATACTGATGGCTATTAATCAACTCAGATGACCTGGCTTTCATATTTGTAGTGGCAATGCCTCCTGGAGAATTGGAGGGAATTAAATTGGTCAAACCGCCATCATGATATTTTGGAATAGAATGAGAGTAGCGATTCGGTGATCCCCTAAACTCATTGTTCATTTGACCCAGACCACTCATTGATGATACCCCATGGCTGAAAGCTTTGTCCATATATGTTGTGCAAGATGATCCAACTGGCAACTTCACAGCTGTATTTGTCCCAATAACCCCCGTGCTAGATTTGATGCCACCAATTCGATGAGAACCATCTTCGCCTAGCTCCATCCCACCAACACTGCTAAATAGGTCTAAATCCTCTATATCATCCGCAGCTTGGTGAAAACAGTCCATCCCATCTGTAACTCCAGAAAGCAAATCGTCATCATCAGGGAGAAGATTGCCAATAGTGTGAGCCTCAAGTTCTTCAAGGGATTCCAAAGGTTCCTCTTTTCCCTCACAGTGTGGTTCTTCTGCTGCACCAACGGAGTTTCCATGGGGAAAATTGCTCATCGAAAGTCGCACTGCAATAAAAAAGTGTCCAGTATGTCAATAAAATATTTGGTATTATTAGGAGAAGATATATCAACATTACTGATCTTTAAAGAATCAGTTTCAAGATTGATAATATGAAGGAACTAAAAAGATCAATCACGAATAGGTTAGTAAATTGACACATTGGTGGGGGTGAGCTTACTGTTTTTACTAAACAACTCCGATAATGAGCTAGAAAAAAGACCATTTTCATGTTGAATCCCCATTGAGGTCACTTTGTCACCTTCGACTGAATAAAATGCAGATTCTGTATTTAACATAGATCTTGTGCCTATATCACTATTAAGAGTTCTTGGCAAAGAGTAACTGGCAACTTTTTGATGCCCAATTGCATGCTTTTGTATAATTGAGTTTACTTTCTGCTCCGGGCTTATTTCAGGATCATGAACACCAAATCCCTTAGCCATCTGAGAACTGATGGAGAACTGGTTCATGCAGGGTGAAGAAGGTCCACCACCTCTGACTGTTTCATCCCTTTTCAGACCTGTGAAAGGCATTACAAAAAGTCAAGGCATTCAAAACCCAACGGAAAAACTAAATTAAATCACAGTTCTAGTTTTAGACCAGAAATAAAAGGCTTCCATTGAGGAGTAACATCCCCCTCATAAATCTCATGATGTGTGTGTTATTACAACATTCCGCAAACCCAAATATGGATTTTGGATATTAAAGATATTTACACATTGTTAATAGTAAGAGAACCAAGATTTAGTATTTTTAAACTAGATACTTGTATGTTAAAAAGATGCTAATGTGTTGTAAATGAGCGCATCTGGATGGGCAACCTGGCTGGAAATTGTATATATAGCTTATATTAGATGACAGTATTTAATGCAATATTGTCGTATTCCAGAGAAGGGAAGCCTTCGCGTACCGGTCAAGGTGTTGTTGTGTGACCAAAATGTCACGGGTTTAAGTCTTAGGAGGGGCCTCTTGTCAAAATTTGACAAGGGAAGGCTTGCCCCTTATGGTGGGAGTGGGACCCCTCCCCGGAACCTCGCCTTGCGGGGATTCCTTCCCTTTTTATTGTCGTATTCCAGAACTCTACTTTTTTCTATAATAAATGTGAAATGTCTCTATCTCATCCTTTTTACCACAGCCCCGAGCTAAAAAGGAAGTGTGACTGCGTGAGAGTCAATTTTGGGAACTTTTAAATTTCCAAGAAGTTGTCTTGTGCTAGCTTTAGCAATAAACTTAAAATTCAACATATAAAACAAGCATAAAACTCCAAACTTGGACTTAGTAACTAAAGACTTGTGTATGATAACGAACAGCTCATGTGGAGGGGATAAAAAGGCATAAATGTAAGAACAAAGACAACTGTAAAAGAAAGGTGAATCGTGTGATACATTGCCGAAGGGACAGAACCATCATTTTTTCCCGGAATAGTATTACCACTCACCATGATAATTGGGCAGGCCATCTGACTTCCAATACGAAACCGGCATCTGCCAAGTATGGTAAGAGAAAAAATTGGTTATTAGAGAAAACAATGAACCAAATGATGGCAACCATTTTTACAGGCAAGTCCTCACATGCCCCTAGAATTAGGCATATGTGCAAAATGAGTTCCATTCTAATAAGGATGAGCAGAAAATGATATAAAAAGAATTACACTATTGCACAAGAAGTCAATACCTCATTATGAAAGCATAACTCCTCAGAGAAGAAGGACCTTGGAGACAAACTATGGGGATCCACCATTTGGGATGGCATTTTGCAAAATGGAATAGAAGGCACTACAAAAACGATTACAAAGTTGCACCTTTTGATTCCACCAGAGAACGAATTAGGCAATCTGTAGAAAGGGTAAAAAAGCATCCAACTTCAAAGATGATCTGCCATGAGTATCAAATATTCAAATGTAATTTGTTTTCCCAATAATAGTTTGATAGTTGGGATTCACTTCAATTACGACAATAACCAGAAAAAGTGCAAATAAAAGGCCGCTTTAGTATCAAGTTCGGATTTTTTTAGAAATTAGGTAATGCATGGGCAAGGGGTATTCATTCAGTCACTAACTGGCAATGAAATGTCCTTCTTTTTCATCATCTTTTATATTTAAAAGTTCGAAAGCAATTATAATTTAACCTCTCCGAGTCTTTAAAACCAAAGCACAACTAGCCAACAGAAAGAAAAGTTACATGACAACACTTGTTATTTGTTAAGAAGAAGTAAATATAAGCTTCAGGGCAGACAAGAATTCACATCAGTGAGCCGGTGATCATGCATTGAAAGTGCCCAAACACACACAAAACAGCAAACTTCAATCCCAGACACTAACGATCAAAAGATCAAAGGCTAAAACATACAAATGTTTCAAAATAGGGTAACATAATTTGCAGAAACACGGAGAAAATGAAACACCCACCTTTTTTAGAATTTGAGAACCATCTCTGAGAACAAAAAAAATCAGAGGGAAGGCAGAAGAAGAATTTCAAACAAAAAGTTACAGATAGAAAGAGATACAACAGCAAAGGAGATTATATAGGATGGCAAGGGAGTGAGGCTTAAGAAATTCAGGGGGAGAAAAAATTAGAATAAATTACGCCATAAGGCAAGGCAAAAGAAGGGAGATTAAACAAGAGATCTAGGTTTCTGTGCCGTGCAAGAACCTCCAAAGCTTCGATGCCTTTCTCTCTCCTCAATTTTTTTCCTGCATTGCACGTTATCCACATGTATTCTATGAATATATTATATACGAGTTATGTTTTGCGATGAATTTCCTCTCTATATCTCTCTCTCTCCTCAATCTATGCCTCTTTCTTCTTCCTCAGAACCCCCTCATTCTCCGACCGGCAGCTCTGAATTTTCCGGTGAGCGCCGGACGACGGAATTCCGAGACCTCTCTCTCCACTAGCTCTACAGAGAAAAAGTAACCAATTGGTCCCAATTCTAGAGAAAAATAAACGAGAAGAAAATGGAAAATTCGGAGACTGGGTGGCCTTTGATTAGAATTGAAACTGACCACAAAGTACAGATTTTTTTTAAATGATCAAGAAAATCTATAAAAAAATTGAAAAGAGGAAAAGGGTGAAAATGAGACGAGAAGACCAGACTCCGAGAATCTCCGACGAGCTAATCTAGCAATCAGGGAAGAGAGAGGAGGGAGAAATCACATAATACGGACTACGCAACATATATAATAATAATAATTAAATAATTATAATACGGAGTAATAAATACGAAAATGGAAAACTGAAAGAAAAGAGAAAACTACACGCAACAGATTATTATAAGCATGGGAAGCGAGGGATGGCCGGTAGCCGTTAAAGTGATTAACGGGCGTTAGGTCCTGATCCGTTTTAAAAAGGTTAGAGACACGTAAGGTGAATTGTTGAGACATTATTAGAGCAAGTCCACAAATGCATTTGTTTTGTTTACTTTGGTCTAAATCCAATTATTATAGTGATTTATAGTCTACAGTCTACACGATACTAACTTCTAATGAAAATTACTACGTATATAGTTTCTTTTTCAAAAAGAAAAAGATTACGACAGCTAATGAGAATAGAAAATTACTTGACAATACAAAAGCTTAGGGCATGATTTGCAATATTATTACGATATTAAAATGGTAATTTGGCGAATTTTAGGAAGGGCATTATTGAGTGACATTAATTTTTTTTGTGAGATTGTTTGCTAGAGTAATTCGGGATAAAAATATAGGCACAAGTTATTCCAATGAAAAAGTAGATGTGTGATAAGTGAGGGCAAGATCAAGAAAATATCATATTAGTCGGAGATGATGAATAGTAGTCACAAAAGAGCTTTGATATTATTAAAAAAAAATTATTGTTGCAATTACTTAGCGCAAGTATCATACAAAAACTGTTTTTTAGAGATTAGTATATATTACAAACAAGGTCTCGTGAATCTCGGTCGTGTAAACAGATTACGAAGCAATAGAAATATTGAGTTGTGCCTGACGTCGCTTAGCCTTTTTCGATACAGACGGTTGTAAATTCTCATCTTAAAGTTTCTCATATACGTCAACGACACACGTTTGGTTTGGTGTTCGGCTCAGCTTATTTTTGTCCGCACCTATCTGTTTTTTTGGCTCTTTTTTCCAAAGATTTTAATTTATTGATGTCATTCCCGAAATATATGGAATTCATCTCTGAGATCCGTCAAAACTTTTGTAGCTACTCTTAGGGGTGCCTTTAGGAGATTCATTATCATTCATAGAATTTAGCACCTTTGACCCTTCAACCCCTTTAATTGAGTTTTCGATCTACAACGTTATTTACTACCTCAAAAGTTTCTAAATTGTCTTCATTTGATAACACTTGAAACTTATTAGTTCAATCAATTTCCCCCACCAAAGAAGTCTCTAAAGTTTCAGTGGTGAACATCTGGACATGGGGCATATCTAGGGGGGAGAGAGGCATCTGCCTCACTCAACCCCAACCCAATCCATATGTGTGTGTTTGTATATAATCTACGGAGTATGATTTTATAATAAATTATTCAAAATATATGTAAAAATAATAAAAAATCTAAAACACGATGACTAAATGTGTTTTTACTAGTGTAAATATAGTGTCATTTTCAAAGAGTCATGAGTTTTACTAGTATTAAAAAGAAAATGATTACAACGGTTAATGAGAATAGAAAATTACTTGATAATACAAAAGCTTAAGGCATCCTAATTTGCAATATTATTAGGATACTAAAATGGTAGTTTGGCGATTTTTAGGAAGAGCATTGTTGAGTGACATTAATTTTTTTGGTGAGTTTGTTTGCTAGAGTAATTTAGGTCAATCAATTTCCCCCTCCAAATAAGTCTCTAAAGTTTCAGCCGGCGAACTTCTGGACATGGGGCATATATATGGTGGGGGAGAGGGGCATCTGCCACATTCAACCCCAACCCAACCCATATGTGTGTGTTTGTATATAATCTATGATTTTATAAGAAATTATTCAAAATATCTGTAAAAATAATAAAAAATCTAAAACAGGATAACTAAATGTGTTTTTACTAGTGTAAATAAGGTGTCTTTTTCAAAAAGTCATGAGTTTTATTAGCATTAAAAAGAAAAAGATTACAACGGGTAACGAGAAGTGAAAATTACTTGATAATACAAAAGCTTAGGATATTAAAATGGTAATTTGGGGATTTTTAGGAAGGGCATTGTTGAGTGACATTAATTTTTTGGTGAGTTTGTTTGCTAGAGTAATTTGGGATTAAAATACAGGTACAAGTTATTTCAATGAAAAAGTAGATGTGTGATAGGTGAGGGCAAGGTCAAGAAAAAAATCATATTAGTCGGAGATGATGAATAATAGTCACAAAAGAGCTTTGATATTATTAAAAAAAATTATTGTTGCAATTACTTAGCGTAAGTATCATACAAAAACTGATTTTTTTAAAGATCAGTATATATTAAAAACAAGGTCTCGTGAATCTCGATCGTGTAAACATATTAGGAAGCAATAGATTTATTGAGTTGTGTCTGATGTCGCTTAGCCTTTTTCGATACGACAGTTGTAAGTTCTCATCTTCAAGTTTCTCATATACGTCAGCGACACAAGCTTGGTTTGGTGTTAGGCTCAGCTGATTTTCAATTTGTCCGCATCTGTCTCTTTTCTTTTGGCTCTTTTTTTCAAAGATTTTAATTGATTGATGTCTTCCCGAAATATATGGAATTCATGTGGGAGATCCGTTAAAACTTTTGTAGCTACTCTTAGGGGTGCCTTTAGGAGATTCATTATCATTCATAGAATTTAGCACCTTTGATCCTTCAACTTCTTTAATTGAGTCTTCCATCTACAACATTATTTACTACCTCAAAAGTTTCTAAATTGTCTTCATTTGATAACACTTGAAACTTATTAGTTCAATCAATTTCCCCCTCCAAAGAAGTCTCTACCGTTCCAGATGGCGAACTTCTGGACATGGGGCATATCTATGGTGGGGGAGAGGGGCATCTGCCTCACTCAACCCCAACTCATATGTGTGTTTGTATATAATCTACGATTTTTTAAGAAAATATTCAAAATATCTGTAAAAATAAATAAAAATCTAAAATAGGATGACCAAATGTGTATTTACTAGTGTAAATATGGTGTCTTTTTCAAAAAGTCACGAGTTTTACTAGTATTAAAAAGAAAAAGATTACAACGGCTAATGAGAATATAAAACAACTTGATAATACAAAAGATTAGGGCATTCTAATTTGCAATATTATTAGGATATTAAAATGGTAATTTGGCGATTTTTAGGAAGGGCATTGTTGAGTGACATTAATTTTTTGGGTGAGGTTGTTTGCTAGAGTAATTTGGGATTAAAATAATGGTACAAGTTATTTCAATGAAAAAGTAGATGTGTGATAGGTGAGGGCAAGGTCAAGAAAAAAGCATATTAGTCGGAGATGATGAATAGTAGTCATAAAAGAACTTTGATATTATTAAAAAAATTATTGTTGCAATTACTTAGCGTAAGTATCATACAAAAACTGCTTTTTTAGAGATCAGTATATATTAAAAACAAGGACTCGTGAATCTCATTCGTGTAAACAGATGAGGAAACAATAGATTTATTGAGCTGTGTCTAATGTCGCTTAGCCTTTTTCGATACGACAGTTGTAAATTCTCATCTTCAAGTTTCTCATATACGTCAGCGACACAAGCTTGGTTTGGTGTTAGGCTCAGGTTTTTAGAATTTAAATTTAATGGATCAATGCATTTTTAGATGGTGCACAATATATTAAAGTGAGTTAATTTTATGATTAAAAAATATAAATCTATTTCAAACATTTTAAAATAAACACTAACACACACATATTAGAAAATATACTTATAATGTGTGAAATAAGTTGAAAATTGTATGTATCAAAGTCAAACAACTCTAATTTTATTCTTCAAATCGAATACGTAATTATTTGTATTGTAGTTGAAAGACATTTGAACCAAAAAAATTGGTTTGTATTCGTATTTATATTCTGATTTATTACAAATGAGCTTGAAATCTGTATGCAAAAGTGTATATATGTGTTGCACTTTGAGGGTACTGTTATCTTTTAAAAGTTATTATAGTTTTATTACTATCATTATTAATATTGATATTAATATTACCATTATTATTAATCAAATATATTTGATTAATATTCGAATCAAATACACTGATATTCTTATTTGTATTTGATAACAACTCGAATCAAATTTAATAATCTTATTTGAATTTTCCGAATTCGAATCGTCTTATATGAATTCGAATCGTGAATCGAGCACAAATTATTTGATTCGTTTACAACCCTAGACTCAGCTGATTTTTGTCCGCATCTATCTCTTTTGTTTCGTCTCTTTTTTTCAAAGATTTTAATTGATTGATGTCTTCCTGAAATATATGGAATTCATCTGTGAGATCCGTTAAAACTCTTGTAGCTACTCTTAGGGGTGCCTTTAGGAGATTCATTATTATTCATTGAATTTAGCACCTTTGATCCTTCAACTTCTTTAATGGAGTCTTCCATCTACAACATTATTTACTACCTCAAAATTTCTAAATTGTCTTCATTTGATAACACTTGAAACTTATTAGTTCAATCAATTTCCCCCTCCAAAGAAGTCTCTAAAATTTCAGCTCGCGAACTTCTGGTCATGGGGCATATCTAGGGTGGGGGAGAGGGGCATCTGCCTCACTCCCCAACCCAACCCATATGTGTGTGTTTGTATATAATCTATGATTTTATAAGAAATTATTTAAAATATCTGTAAAAATTATAAAAAATCTAAAACAGGATAACTAAATATGTTTTTACTAGTGTAAATATCGTGTCTTTTTCAAAAAGTCATGAGTTTTACTAGTATTAAAAAGAAAAAGATTACAACGACTAATGATAATAGAAAATTACTTGACAATAAGGCATCCTGATTTGAAATATTATTAGGATATTAAAATGGTAATTTGGCGATTTTTAGGAAGGGCATTGTTGAGTGACATTACTTTTTTGGTGAGTTTGTTTGCTAGAGTAATTTGGGATTAAAATACAGGTACAAGTTATTTCAATGAAAAAGTAGTGTGATAATTAAGTGAGGGCAAGGTCAAGAAAAAATCATATTAGTCGAAGATGATGAATAGTAGTCACAAAAGAGCTTTAGGATTATTAAAAAAATTAGGGAAAATAACTTTAAATAATATTAACTATCACTTATAAACCAATAATAATGCATACTTTGA